AATGTATTTGTAGATCCTCTCGAATTCTCTACACAGATAATCATATAGCAGATAAAGACATTTATTTCTCTTTCTAATCCCAGTGGCTATTTTTTTCTATTTGTTTGTCTTGGTTAGGTATCTAACACATTTTTTTAGTTGTAGAAGAGATAGTAGTTACTTTATATACTTTCCATTATAATCAATGAGAATGCTTTTAACATTTTATCATTAAGCATGACGTTTGCTACAGACTTCTGGTAAATGCCTCTCGTTATGTTTAAAAAGATTCTGTTTCTAGTTTTCCTAGAGATTTTTTTTCTAAAGTGATTACTAAGTTTACCAAGTATCATTCACCTATTAAGACAATCTTTCTCTTTTCTTTTTTCTACTTCTCTTATTTATTTTATTTTACTTTTAAACGGCTAATGTTGTACATTATATCAGTGGATTTTCAGATTTTAAACCATCTCCGGATTGGTCTTATCTATTTTTTCCACACTGTTGGATTCAATTACTGATTTTTTCATCTGCATTCATAAGTGCACTTAATCCAAATTCTCTATTATGTTGGGTACTTCTGTGTCCAATTTTGATATCAAGATTCTACCAGTCTGCTTTTATCGTTTGATAAACCTGGGTGTTGGCAAAGGTTTTATTTGACTGAAAGAATCTGGCAAGGGGTGTTCTGCTGCCTTTTAAAATTTTCAAATCTTCTTTTCTATTGAATGAAGTAGACATTTTAAGCTGGAAGGAGGTATATTTTTCATGACTAAATGACGTAACTAATTTTGAATTAAAAAATGGCCTGTTTTTACTTTTCCCAAGTTGACATGCAAGCAAAATATAATTTCTTGCTACTGATCTACATGATAGCAAACCCTCAGTTGTAACTAAAAAAATACAAAGAATTGTCCAGATATTTTCAAATGTCTTTTTAGATGTATTACGGTTTGATTAGGTAGATCTAGCCTATGATAGACAAGCGGTCCTGTATCTGGGATGATCCAATTGGGAAATATATTTCACAGAAATTTCCTATATAAATCTCGTGTATTTTTAGGGCTGTTTACAAATGACCTCTGGAAAAAGTAAACACTATGAAAGTAAAGTTTCCCATGGCAGAGATTCAGCAACATGTATCTTTTTTTTTTTCTTTTTATTCCCCTTCCTTTCTTTTTAAATTCTTGATTGTTTAAAAAAAAGTAGAAGGCAAAGAAAGAAGAATTTTTCAATATCATGGTATACACTACATGAAATTTGTTAAATTTTTCTTCAAACTGTATAGTTCCTCCATGATAAGTGTATTTCAAATACATAAAATAGGTTGTGTGGTCACTCATCCACTATACCCTATATATGAGATATCCAGAATTTATCTAGGGAAACATACTATTTTTTTAATCAAAAGACATAACCCAAAAATACTAAGCCATTTATCTTCTAAAAACCATGCAAAATGCAGGTCCCTGCTGTGTTTCCTGTTGATAATATTTTCCCCATTTGTAGCACAACTTTTCTTTCCTCTGGGAAGCTGGTATTTATTTTATTCATAGATTGCAAAATTATACCCTGATGCTGTTCCACCAAAGAGCATTATTTATACAAGCAGGGAGAGTGTGGTTTAGGATATAATCAGCAGCAGTAATGGAAAATAGCACTTTCAAACAGGCCTCACTGAGTTATGGAGGATACCACCTGGAGACCATGCACCCGGAACTTCTCTGGACACAGGTCGTATCTTTGCACAGACATCACTGATTTTGCTGTTTTCTGAACTCCCTGATGTCGTCCTACAATATGTTCAAGCCCAGCAGTTTGCCAGACTATGTAGTATTCTATCTTTCCTCCCTGTCTAGATATGGGATGTCCCCATCAACAAAACTGGCTGTGTTCCGAAAATTTATTTCTAAATCATTTATCTGGGATCAGAAGACATTTTCCCACAGGAACAATTTTATAAACAGTGATGTTCCACAAATGCCTGCTTGTGCCACAGTGTACCTGAAATGCAACATTGACTGTACGATTCCTACCAACCATTATTTATTCTTTTCTCTGGGAACGTGCATTCCTAGTTCTATGTTGGGATGCCTGAGGCTTATCTCTCCCTCTGCCTGGGAGTCTCGGCTATAGCTTTTTTGGGCTGTGCAGCAGTAGCAGTCAGGAAGAGGCGAGGGAAGCAACCTTCCCAAGAAAGAGATGAGTGTACAGAGTTGATATGGATGCCTCTGGGTAACTCGTTAATTCTGGAAGGCTGAAGAAGGAAACCTACAGTGTGAATTAGTTACTTCCCAACTGTTCTAAAAGAGGCACAAAGGGCAGGGACATTTTTGTAAACAGAGATCATTTCTAAGTCACATCTTCATAAATAGGGAAAGGCATATAGTAAAACCTCACATTTTTAAAGACTAACCTCCGGACTTGTAATTAACCAGGAAAAATACTGTGAAACTTCTTGGTCAGTGATGAAACAGTCTCCAAACATACAACAATGAGACATAGATCTTGCACCTATATCCAGGCCTGACAAATAGTAAGTGCTCCAAAAAAGGGATTTTCACTTTTAATTAAGTACTAATTGAGTGAATTCTATATTGAAAAGGACAAGACTATGTGTGGGCCAGTTACCTTCATTCTCTTTAGCATCTCCTAATTCTGATCCTCTTACAGCACATGTCCTAACAATGAAGGGTTGGTGAGAGCACTTTCAAGAAGCCACCTGAACATTATGTCACCTCTGTGGGATATATGCATCTGTCTACCCCAGCCCAAAGCAGGTGGTGCATCTCTTCATGCCCTCTCTGATGTGCATCAATTTCTAGGAATTTCTAGTACTATCTCCACATTGCCAAATCTGAGGAAACAAAAGAGATAAGGAGAGGAAAGTGAAGTCAGTGAGGATATCCAAGCCTGTAGGACCTTAGGTTTATTCTGGCCAGTATTACCTGCTAAAAAAGACTTAAGTTTTTGGTTTCCCTTCGGTCACTTGTTTTTATAACACATGCCGACATATTTTGGGGAGTTGTGCCTCTTTCAGGCTAGAATTTAGTCTGCACAGCAGACCCAGGTCCTGTCTCCTTCAGGTTTTAGAATTGCATAACAATTTAAACTCATTTTGTACGTACAAGTACTTTGAAAAGAAATATACTATTAAGACTCTCTCTGGTAAGAAGCCTTCCCCACCCCCACGCCCAATAAACTGATCTGTTAACTTTTTGTTTCAGAGACTGTGCTTTCTTTTTATTGCTGCATTTGTGTTCTACAAGACAGCCTCTCCAAGATTAACATTTCTTATGATTGTTCCTGACAATGGATTCACTTCCAGAGGCCCTGCTAAGGATAACCAAAAAAGGGCATGGAGCGGGCTGGTTTTGGCAGCCTGCACGCAGTTTCAGAGCTTTTTAGGTCTTGGGTTTTCTGATGAGTGATTTCCTGAGCATGCCTAGGGAATGACAGGCATCTCCACAGGCAGGCTGCATCCACCTTGGCTGGGGTGTCGTCATTGGCTGCCTATTAGAAAAACGACAGGACAATGCATACCACCGCCTGCCGACTGTAAACATAGGGGATATGTGTTCACTTAGCATGGACTTCTGGGAGGGGCCAAGGAAGGGCGGTCTGGAGTTCTATTGAATAGAGCAGTGTGTATTCGGCTGCCTGCCTGCCTGCTTGCTCTCTGGCTGTGCTCCTGCTTAAAGAAATCAGTCCTTCCTTTCCGACTTAGTCCTCGGGAAGAAGTTTCAGCCTACGAGGTAAGGCACAGAAGGCTTTCT